CGTATTGTACCGTGCCGGGCATCTCCATTCGAGCGCCATGGCATCACTATACTCGTATGCGATCATCTCGGAACCGGCGAATCCAATGCGATTCCAAAGCGATTCCATCCCATCATCACATTGCCGAACGTCCAAAAAAGGCGCAGACGCCGCAGCTTCATGACGCGCGTTGGGAATATCCAAGCAACGTCGTCATACTTTCCCTGCTCCCAAAGACCCAAAGATCCAAAGATCCAGTCCAAAGACCATATATACTCGTACAATATGCTTCCTTTCGTTTCCGAAAGCTCCAGCTTACCAGCTGGTTCTCAAGCGCTCAAAGTGTCAAGCGTCAATTGCCGTTGAAGTTTATTGCCTTGGCAGCAATTAAATACATTTTTCTTTTTCTTCCTTTTTTTTTTTGGTTGAAATGAGGGGGTTTCAGCTACATGTGACCAAAATCAATCCACTTTGATTTGATTTCTTGATTGGCTGTCGGGGGAATTGAAATGCATAATTGAATTATCAAATTAGAGTTGGTGTTTGGATAAATAATTGTTATTCTGCGGGGAATTGGTGGTTTCAATGACTCACTGGGTGTTTCTGGGTTGCATTTAATTGCCCATAAATGCAATTGTATTTATTAGACGGTAATGGAAGAAATATCTACATATTTCTAGCTTGTCAAATTAGTTGGAAGGGCAGTCGTTTTATTCTTAAGGTTTTGGTAGATATTACTGTTTAAATGCTTTATTCTAGCATATAAAATCTGCAACCTTCAATGGCGGTAAATCTTATTCGTGCACTTGAATTGAACAAATTAGAAGTGTTCACTTTAAGTTCCTAACTGCTGGCTTACTGCAATTTGGCTAAGTAAGTTTTTATTGCTACCGGTTTCGTAGCTTCAGCTAAGGCTATCATTTCCCTCAACTCTGCAGCATTCTTTCCATATAACTCAAAGAGAAAAATTCATCACCGCAATATGCGCAACACACACCTAGAAGGAAAAAATTGAAGAAAACTCTGGGAAAAAGAAGTGGCTGGTGGCAGTGGCAGGAAAATTGTCATAAAGGTGCAACTGACAACAGCAGAAGAGGCGATGGCGAGGTTAGTAAATTTCAATTTATATGCAGGGAGAACAGTGAGTGAAAAGGCAGAAGCAGGACACAGGACATGGGGCACTACAGGATGAGGACGAGGACATAGTACACACACACACAGGACGCAGAGTCAAGGAGCCAGCGCACAAAAAGTGTCAACGTAATATTTTCTCGAATTTTCCAAGATTTTTCGTGCCATTTTATTTCCTCTTTCTTGCTGTCATTTTCTTTTTATTTTTGGACGCCAGCAACGCAAGTGGAAAACGCAATTTCATTAGACAAATTGAAAAAAATAAGTGCAAGCGTACACAACAACAAGCACCAAGGACTATGAGAGAGGCGCCTCTTTAGCCTCCATATATACATCTATACATGTACTACATATCGTTCTATGTATAAGCTATGTACCACCAAGACTGACGCCATATTGCGGACAATCTAAAGATTTTCCCTTGTCGCTTGCCATTCGTTGCGATTGTTTTTCACGCGCACATACGTGTAGGAGCGGAATGGAATATGTATATAAATATATAAGGATGTGAATGGGCATCCAACGGTGGAGCAGCCTCGTCCTTTTCAGCAGGATGCTGCGCGCGCGTTGAAAAGAGGCGGAGACTCTCTGCCTAAGCGAAAAAAAATAGACCAACACTTTGCGAGGAGCCCAGCAGAAAAAAAGGCAAAAGAACGCACTGAATGCAGCTGGGAGTCTTTCTTATCAACGTCCTCGGTTCGGCGGTACTCGCTTTCCCCATTTTCCCGACTTTCCCCACTTTCCCGACTTTTCTGCTTTTTCCCCCAAAAAACGATGCGACGTCGCTGATTGGAAGCTTCGGCAAACAGTTCGTTTTTGGGGCGGAGCTTAAGCTTTCGACGCAGTGGCGTCGCCAAATGGGGGCGCATTTCGCTTCAAAGGGGATTTTCTGGAAATACAAAATCATTTGAGAGTATTTAAAATTTAGATATATTTTTAATAAATTGTTGTAATTATATGTTTTATTATTACAAGCAAAAATTAAAGTTTTGTAAAAAAAAATTTTTTTGTTGCAAGAACTCTAAAAATTTATGGATTTAAATCCATTTTCTCTATACTTTATTTTAAACTACAATATATCGATTTCGCGTGCAGCGGCTATCATGCCCACGAATCCTTCGGTTAACTCGCGTGCTACTGGAATAATATCCTCCGGCGGAAGGACGAAGCCCAATTCGCCCTTATCGCGCAGCTCTATGGTATAGGGTATCTTGATGTTCTTTACCGCATAGGCCCATTCCTTGCCCGAACCCGAAACTTCATCTAGAAATTGTATGGTGTTTTACAGCAAATATTCATACAGATAAAATTGGCGGACTTACATAATGTGGTAGCACTGGATCCATAGGTAAATTCCGTACCATATCTTCTATAAAGAGCATCCGAAAATCCTTTGGCCACGTGCATCATTTGAGGATAATGTTCGGGAAACTCCAGAGCGGTGTGTCCCCACGGCGAAAGAACATATTGCCCATAAGAATGCAACGAGATGTAGATCTTTATAGCGCCTTCGGGTATGGAGTTGTTTATGTAGGCCGTTAGTTGGCTAATCTCGGGATCTGATTCTGGCGAGGGACCAGCATAAATTTCTGAACAGGGATGCGAATCAGCTCCAATCACTGAAATTAAAATTATCTAAATAATAAATGAAGTTTACCAGTTACTACATTCTAGATATCAAGAACAATATTGTTAGTAAATTACCATAAATATATCATTATAAACTTACACATCCACAAGTAATCAAAGTTCCGATTGAGATCAGTTCCAATACACCTGCCCGTGGGATCCGATTGCAGACGGGATTTTCGCCAAAGACGTTCCTGGAAATTCATGGTAATAAAGATAATCGGTCATAGTGGTAATTGACTACTTGTTAGTAAAATCCGATAAGATGGCCGGCTATAACGATATCGGCATGTATTTGAAATCTAATCTAATCTGAAATCTATTCGCAATGCCACGCCTGCACTTTCATTGTCATTCACATCGTATAGTAAATGTTTAGAAAATTTAGAAATACTAACCACTATATGGGAGTAAGCAAAGCCATCTGTATTCAGAACGGGTATGATATACCAGTCCACATTCTGGGCGATATCCCTGACTGCAGGGTTACGAGGCACCAGCAATTCATCGATGAAATAGGTGATCGTCGCTGACGTAATCCACTCGCGGGCATGAATATTGGACTCTATGAAAACTGCGGGATTTCCCTCTTTGTATGAGATTTTAACACCTCTAATGGGTCTGCCCTCGTATGAGTCGCCGATGGTAAAGGGTGTGACTATATCCGGATAACGTTCCTCGATCACATCCAACCAGGCGTATATCTCATCAAGAGTGTGATACTGTGTCCACTCCATGGATGTAATACGCTGCTTGGGCTTCTGGGCATCGATGTGCATCTGAACATTATCGATCTTTATTCTATATGTGAAATTATGCGTGGCCAAGAGGCTTTCAAACGTCTCCTGATATTCAGGAGGCAGCATCAGATCAGAGGATTCACCCAGATGACGAGCCTCGCGCCAACTGCTGAGCTGTGTAAAGTGGACATAAATGATGAGGACTGTATTAGATTCTATGAATTTGATCTACCTTCAAGGAACTCTCCTGAGAATTAAGCAGCTTAAACTGCTCCAGATCATCGATCCTCACATTGTACACCTTATAGTTATCATATCGCACTTGCTCAACGGACCGAGCCAGGCCAAAGAGTCCTACCACTAGGAGAATTTTAGCCAACATACCGCTCAATGGAAAAGTCAGCGTGGAACTGTCGAGGTCCGTAGAATTCTAAACTGATTAGGCTAAACTTATCGTCGCGACTGCCCATTGAGTCCATAGACGGTTTTTGGTTTTTATCAGCAATAAAAAATAGAAAAAAAACTATTTCAGGCAGGCATTCTTGTACAAGCAGTTGGAGTTCGAGTTGTCTGGGCAGGCGAGCACTTGGTACTTAGGCTGTCTCTCAACTTTACACATAAATTTTGTGCAACGGCAGCCCATTTCATTGTAGGTCATTGCATAATGAAGTTACCGCCCCGAGGCACATAAATTTCCCTGGGAGCTCGAGGAGATTTCAGACCGCTTTCTGTTCGCTGTCTTCTGTTTGACTTGCGGCGCTTAGTGCGAACATTTTGTTTAGGCCCGTTACGGTTGAGGTTTTCGCCACGAGTATCAGTTAGGTTTTTTTTATGTCCTGTGGCGAGTGCTTAAAGGACTTCGTCCTGGGCTTTGGTCATATTTTGCGCGGGTATTAGAGAAACACGATGTGGTCGTTGTCACCGCATGCGGTGCGTCAACGTGTGTCCTGTGCCCAAAAGTGGGCCAAGGTGTGGGGTTTCCCTAAGTGGCCTGGACATGAAAGGCGCATCAAAGTGGATTTCCAGCGCGGAAAATGCCAAACGGAGAACTACAGGGATGGCAGCGAAATATTTCGCAAAAATGTTAATGACTTTGTGAAATATCGGTGGAAAATGCTAAACTTTCAGTGGCATTCAATCTGGCTAACTTTGGGCAGTCCAAGCTGAGAAGGGTGAAGAATTTACAGCCTTTACAATAAATCACGGATTTAACACCTACTTACAAGCCCCAAAAGTCAACCATAAAGTGTGTAAGGTGCTATAACTCTTTATGCTTCAATCAAGGTGTAGTCTTGATGTCATTATGTTGAAATTGCACTTCATTTTTGTACTTCTAACAACAAATAAACTATTTGTTTATCACCAAAAATAAATGGTAGATACTGCACTTGGTTCATAACATGACCAATTCAGTTACAGTTCAGATACAGATACAATTATTTAAATTCTGAAAAAGTAAAATCAATTGGTTTGCACGGTTATTTATGTCACATTTGACTGAGAATCATAATAAAACTTATACAATCTGTGAATATATTTTGAATTAAATGGAAACTTTGGCAACATACTTGGCGCTGATGATCGCCGCCTGGGGAATGCAGCTATGTCCTCGACTTTATCTTCCCATGGGTGAATTGGTCCCGACTCTTAAGATAGCCAACCTGACATCGGCTTTTATTGAGGCCAACCTGTTTACCCAATTCACGATGCTGATTCTACTCCTTCCCTCGAAGGTGTTTACAACCCAGAGGCAAAGGAACCTCAAATGGATCTTTGTGATGCCCTATATTCTGCAACATATGAGTTGCTTGTGGAGCACAACACGAAATGTAAAGGAGCTTCTGAGTTCACCATCTATGTTTTTACTGGAGGATTATGCGTTAGCACACCTAAAAATGAGCCTGATTTTCGGACTGCAGCTGCTGGCAATGATAGAAATCGTTTTTATTTTATTTTATAGCCTGAATAAAGAACGCCAGCAGATTGCGAACTGAAAGAAAAGGGATCATCACGAGGAGATGAAAGAACCAGTAGCTGTAAGATGAAATTAAAGCACCTTCCACATCGCCAAACTCCTTTCGACAATTAGTAGCGGATTATTTGATTAGCTCGCTAATTGCCTTGTCCTCAACACCGCACCAAATAAATTTTGTGAACACTTAGTTCTTATCAGCGGCAATAAAGGCGAGCCAAGCGGGATTAAAGCCAACTCGTTGGCGCAGGATTACAAGTCCTGCGGCGAAAACTTGAGCCGAAACTTTCAACACCTCTTGGCGGCGGTGGAAATTACAGAATTGCGGAAAACTTCTTAACTTTTTAACCAACGGCGAACACAACACTTGTCGTGGCGCGTGCGATAAGCCAGCGTCGCTTTTTTAATTGCCCAAAGTCCTTGGGACTTCAACCGGCCCAAAGGACTCTTGGTTAAAGCCGTTTTTAAAGTGTCATAAATATCGTGGCGTTAACATTTCCTGCAGCACTTTTAATTGTGTTTCGTTTGGTGGAGGGCAAGAAAAAATAAACCGGTCATAACATAAATCTCATTGCTGGGGCTAACATGTCGTATGCTTAATATTTTTCACTCAGCTCGCGAAAAAATGTCAATGCCGGAAAGCGTTTAGCATTCGCTTTTTTCTTTGTGCTCTGTGGATTTAATTAGCCTCAAAATGTCCCCGGAAAATGGCAACCTGGCATGCCACATGGCAAGTGTCCTCGCTTTTCCAACGAAGGAGGGTCAGTCAGGATAAGCCAAGGAAGTGCCCACGGCCAAGGAAGGAAGTTGCATGTTCGGCCTCAAGTTCAATTTGCTGGTTTTAGCCACATTTTTGGACAGCTGGTGTGCTGTTGGGTTGGGTAATAACGGTGGAGGAAAACATTTAGATGAGAGATGGGAACCTGATTCACAATTTCATTTTTTATTCTTCGAGAAAAAGTTTTCCTTGGCAGCTGTAATATGTCTCTATACAATAACTCGCCTATCTTACTCATTCTCTATATAAGGAAATGTGAAAAAAATAGTACAAATAAAATCATTTCACGTTTAAATAGATATTTAAATATTTTAAAAATTAACTTTATTACCATTTCGTGTGCAGTGATCAACTTAAATTCCGAGAGCCATCCAACCGAACTTATACTTATTTTACTAAAATAAAACAAGCCCATTCTCATCCAAATCCATTCTGCATGTTACGCGGCCATTAATGCAACATCTATGGATACGAAGTGCAGATTGTTATCATGGCAATTATAGTTTCTGCCTTGAGCAGGCCGCTCTATTGTTAATTTGACTCCATTTCCAGGTGAAAATACCGGGAACAATTGCGGTTAAGGCTAAGTGGTTCCATGCGTTGACACGCCCAGCTGGAGCAACTGCAGCAATTATCTGGCAATAATTAACGCTGATGCATAGCAATCTAATTGCCGAACGGGCACGCTTGTGTGATCATCTCCTTTCCGATACCGCTACCAAGTCAACCCATCTTACATTCTCGTATATGTATATCATAAACCCATACCCATCCCGGGCGACGTGACAACAAGTGCCCACCTTGACTTTTCGCTGACAGAGGGGGCGTGGCACATGCCAATGTTGATGATGACGATGATGTGCCGTGTTCAGTAAGCGATTATTTTTTCAGTTGAGCATTTCTTCAGCGCGCCACTCGGGCATCGAATTGTTTTCATTTTGTGTGTGTTGGTTTTTTTTTAAACGTCGTCGCTGCCAGCTATTTATTGTTAAATGAAGCGATTTGTTTGTTGTCATTATGCCGCGAAGCGTTAAAACATTTTCGCTTTATTTTTTCTACTCTCGAAAAATTGTTTTTCCACTGCCGCAGAGCGAGAAAATTGGGTGTGGAAGCGGGTGTGTGAGGTTGGAAAGGTAGAACGGTGGAATATAGAAGCTATAGTCTCGGGTTAAAGTGGTTGGGATTTTTTGGCACATCGTCAGCGGCTCAGGTGGTTCTGAGTGGTTGGGGTGTATACAGCGGTAAGTGGTTGGAGCAAATGCCTTCTAAGCGACGTTGTCGATGTGTGAATTCCAAACAAGCTGCGGCAGCTGTTCAACATCTAGTCAGAGATGGAGAAATAAAAAAAATATTTTGCGAATGGTTCGACTGCGTTTTTTTCACGGCTGTATAGCAAACGGTTTAGTGAGTAGCGCAGAGGAAGGCGTTATTTGGCGCCCTTCTCCGCGATTCTCAAAATGTTTAGCTGCTTACGCTTGAATCTTAATGAAATTAAAAAGAAAAGTAGTTTAAAAATACCTTCGTCTGCTTTTAATATTAATGGTATTAAAGTAGTGGCTTGTACTGGTTTTTATACAATCCAGAGGAGTGAGTACCAGTGAGTACCGCAGAGGAAGGCGTCATTTGGCGCCCTTCTCCGCGATTCTCAAAATGTTTAGCTGCTTACGCTTGAATCTTATTGAAATTGAAAAGAAAAGTAGTTTAAATATACTGTCGTCTGCTTTTAATATTAATGGTATTAAAGTAATGGCTTGAACTGGTTTTTATACAATCCCTTAGTGAGTACCGCAGAGGAAGGCGTTATTTGGCGCCCTTCTCCGCGATTCTCAAAATGTTTGGCTGCTTACGCTTGAATCTTATTGAAATTAAAAAGAAAAGTAGTTTAAAAATACCTTCGTCTGCTTTTAATATTAATGGTATTAAAGTAGTGGCTTGAACTGGTTTTTATACAATCCAGAGGAGTGAGTACCAGTGAGTACCGCAGAGGAAGGCGTCATTTGGCGCCCTTCTCCGCGATTCTCAAAATGTTTAGCTGCTTACGCTTGAATCTTATTGAAATTAAAAAGAAAAGTAGTTAAAAAATACCTTCGTCTGCTTTTAGTATTAATGGTATTAAAGTAATGGCTTGAACTGGTTTTTATACAATACCTTAGACTGTCCTCGCGGAGATTTCCTTTGGAAACCATTTATCATAGGCAACGGCACCCCAGCTCCATCCTGCTCACATCATTGACTTAATTCCACCTTGACATTCTTTCGACTTGTAGCTGAGAACCCACATCAGCGATCTCAGACATGCTAACTAAGCCCTTCACCTCGATGTGGATGTGGATGTGGATATGCTGATGCCACCGTGGGCGTTTGTCTCCGCCTAATCCGCTTTTAAAGTAAGTAACAAAGTAGAGAAAATAAAACGCAAACCGGAAATCACAAGTCAAGTTGATGAACTGTCGTTGCGGTGCTGTCCTCGGTTTGAAAATCGGGCAGACTACGATGACGACAACGCACAAACCCAAAAGACATGGCACCTGCAAAAAAGTTTGCAGACACATTTGGACCCTTTGCCCAATGCGCTCCAGCTTCAACCCATCCCCATCCCCTTTTGCTCCGTTAGAGATTTACGCATTTATTTTGCATTTTTTATTTACCGCACAAAACATGCGCGCAGATTTAAGCAAAAATCGCTGGCTGAAATGCTGAAAAGCAAAAGCAAAATCAAAAGCTGAAGCTAAAGGCGAAACGAGTTGAGTAGAGTTGGTTAGACACATTTTTCGGTTCGCTTGTCGATTTGCCTGCGTTGACATGACAAAAGGCGCAGATCTGCATACATTTGCATGTCATTGGACACTGGTGGATCGCATCATCAGGCAAGGACACTGAAAATCTGAAATCCCTTTAAGACATTCGGGTACACGCCGCTTGCCCACGTTAACAATATGTTAAGTTGCCCTAAGACAGACTCGCCAAACTCCACTTTGATTCAAAAAACCTCGGGCTCAACGAGTTAATCGCCTCTCCTCGGCCTTTTCAGTCATTTGTCAGCTGTCTGTTGTGACTTTTCTGAGTTTGGGTGGGGTTTTCCCACTTTTGGTGGGAGGCATAATTGTAATTTGTTTGAATTAACCAGTTGGATCTAGCCATTGACAGGAAAGGCCTCCAAAGACCAATAGTCACCATTTCCAAATACCAAAATTTATTGCCTGGACCATTAAGGAAAGTAGCAAATTGCTTTCGGCTGGTCAGCACTCGAGGCTAATGTGCTCACTATTTACTGACCAGAGACATCTCCAACCCTTCTTTTCGGAAAGGTAATAAATATCAAAAGCACCCTGGAGGCAAATATTTACTTTAAAATTGAAACCTCCCCCTGCCAGTTTTCCCTGTTTGCTCAAGCTGCGTAAGTGCGTGAAAGGGTTGGCAGGCTTAGAAAAAATGAAAATAGAAAAAAATAAAATGTGGGAAAAAGAAGCCTTTAATGGCCTCGCTTTTTGATGTTTCCTGAGCCGTGGGTGTTGGCAGGCAATTGGCCAACTCCCCCAAGTCCACACATCAATAGAATTTCGCCTCTATCTTAGCCCATCAGTTGGCAACATTCCTTGCCGCACCGAAATTCAATTCAAAGCTGTTTTCAGCATTTTTATTGCCTGCTAAATTGTTTTTATAGGCCGTTCGAAGTCAGCCAGAAGCTCTTCTTCCGGGGCACTTTAATTTCTCTATTTCCACTGTATTTTTTCCTGGTCTTTTCCGTTCGGCTGGTGGTTATCTCTCTGCTCCTCTTGTTATGCGCCGCAATTGCCAGACCATAAAAATTAACAATTAACAGAGCGCTTAAAATGAACAATCGCAAATCGCGGCTTACAAAATAGCCGTGGAAATGCCTTGATATAAAATTGAAAAAATGGCGTGTCACAGAGGGGGAAAATGGGAGAAAAACTTTCGAACATGGAAGGTTGTGAATTTGGAAATACACTACACATTTCAACAGAGAATTTATATTAAAACCATTTACTTTCATATGATAGTAGATCGAAATCAAATTAGGCCATTCCATTTATTTTTTATGATATTTATTTTATTATATTCAAAATATGCTGTCATATTTAATAAATAAATATATTCCACTTATAATAATATGAACGATATTTAATGATAAATTAAAAAAAATAAATATAGTTAAGATTTTTCTAACGTTGGTACTTTATTAATGGTATTTGAATGTTGTATACATATTTCCACATTAGACTGAGAAAAAAAGCATTGCATTAAATTGCATTCGTTGGCTTTTCGTTGTTTCCAGCTTATACTAAATTTTGTA